GACAATCCGTACGCTGGAGGATATGCTCCGAGCTTGTGTCCTTGACTCCGGAGGCCATTGGGACGACCATCTACCCCTGATAGAGTTTGCCTACAACAACAGTTACCAAGCAAGCATCGGCATGGCCCCATACGAGGCGCTTTACGGGCGTCCGTGCAGGTCACCGATTTGTTGGGAGGAAGTGGGCGATAGAAGATTGTTTGGCCCGGATTTAGTGGAAGAAACCACGTCCAAGATAGTTAAGATCAAGAAGAACATCCAGACAGCTCAGAGTAGGCAAAAGAGCTATGCTGATACCCGAAGGAGGGACCTGGCCTTTGAGAAAGGTGACCGGGTGTTTCTTAAAGTCACCCCCTTCAAGGGAATTAGTAGGTTCGGCAGAAGGGGAAAATTAAACCCCAGATACATTGGACCCTTTGAAATCTTAGACAAGATTGGTACCACTGCCTACAGACTTGCACTGCCCCTGAGCTCTCCCGGGTTCACAATGTGTTTCATGTATCTATGCTGCGCAAGTACAATCCGGACCCTTCTCATGTCGTGGCTCATGAACCGCTCTCACTCCGAGAGGACTTGTCTTATGAAGAAGTACCGGTCAGTATCACGGACCGAGAAAGCAGAATACTCCGTAACCGGGAAATATCATTTGTAAAAGTCTTGTGGCAGAACCACACGCCTAGGGAGGCGACTTGGGAGCTGGAATCAGAATTTAGGGCCCAATATCCTCATCTGTTTGATCAAGAGTAATGAGGCAAATTTGGGGACCAAATTTCTTTATGGGGGGGAGAGTTGTAGCACCCGGAAAGGAGAGAAAAAAAAAAAAAAAAAAAGAAAAAAGTAAGGGCGGCCACGTCAGCAGCCACGTCAGCAGGCCCGGTCAGCAGTCCCGGCCAACCAGGGCCTGCCACGTGGCAAGACCGCGTCACTCCAAAAGGAGCCACGTTGGCGATCCGCGTGGGTGCGATCCGACGGCCCAGATCAATCACGCGATCGGACGGCCCAGATTCAATCGCACGGACGGCCCAGATTCAATCAAAAACGAACGGCCCAGATTAAAACAAAATGAACGGCTGTGATCAAAAGACAAGGGGTTATAAATAGAACCTCCACACCAGACCACAAACCCTAGCCGCCAGCCGCTCGCCGGAGAAGACGAACCAGAGGCCGACCGCCGCCACCCGCCGCCACTCGCCGCCGCACCGGGGAAATTTCCGACCGCCGATCGAGGTAAATTTCATACCCCCGACTCGTTTTTCCCCACTGATTCCTCCTATGGCAAAATCGAAGCCGAAATCCCGGCCAAACGGCCGGAATACGCGACCGAAGCCCAGCGGCACCGCCGCGCCCCCTCTCGGTTTTTGCCTCCGACGAGGCCCTTCGTGGCCTCCGTTCGATGCAATTTTTATATCACCGTGATCACCATTCTTTTCTCTACAGGTTGACCGAAGCCAAATCACCAAAACACGAACTTCGCCGGAGAGTCGCCGTACCCGAGAGCGCCGCCGCCGGTAAGCTCCGTTTTTCCGTGATTTTTTGGCCCCCCGAGGGCCCTAGGGTTGTTTTCTGACAAGGACCAATGCGAGTGTGGCCGAATTCGGCCAAAAACGGCCGAAAACAGTCAACCCGAGGCGACTCGCCGCCGCCAGCAGCGGCGCCGTCGCCGGAGCACGGCGGAGCCGCCGTGCCGGAGTTGCGATTTGGGCCGAAAGAGGCCCTGGGCCTAATTTGGATTTTTTTTGGAACCCGTGCAGGTACTGTTAGCGTGTTTCAGTTCCCCGGGAAAAATTCAGGAGAAAATTAGGGACAGCCTGCAGGCGCACTGTGAATCGTATTCGGATCCCGAAAACAAGTAAGGACCCCTCACCCTATTTCCTATCACGGTATTAAAGTTCAAAATGATAAAACAGTATTTCTTGAATTAACGAATGTGTGAAATTGCTTAAGGTAGCTAATGGAGCCCGAGTCTAGTGTGATTGGTGGTTTACTGTTATTTGGCCTGTTTACAGCTTTAAATGCAAAATGAGGTTTGATGTGTTTATTTTACATATTTGTGTGCATTTACTACGTTTTTATTAATCATGGGTTGAATGACTGAAAAACCGATACTGTATGTTGTCTGTTTGGCATGAATTACTGTTTGCTTGTTTGTATGTGAATTGATGATGCTGATTGAGAAAAAAGAAAATGAAAGGTTGTGTAGACTGATAATTGTATCATGGGTCAGCCTGACTAGATATCTTGGGAGATGGTGGACGGACCGGGTCCGTAGGGAACCCTACCGGAATTGTGGTCTCACATACCGGACGGGGTATGGAGATCTTATGGTTTTGGCGCCCATACCGGACGGGGTATGGGGACGGCCCGTTTCACCCTCATACCGGACGGGGTATTGAGGTTTATGGTTTTGGCGCCCATACCGGACGGGGTATGGGGACGGCCCGTTTCACCCTCATACCGGACGGGGTATTGAGGTTCATGGTTTTGGCGCCCATACCGGACGGGGTATGGGGACGGCCCTGGAAACTGATTATGAATGTTAAAGGTTAACGGGTAGCGGAACCCCTATGGACCCCCACGGATACTAGTAGGCTGGTAAATGAGAAAAAAAGATATGTTGTACAATGATTGAATTACAAGAGGCGTGATAAGTGTTATGTTTTACAGCTTAGATTATTCAATGATTATGATAATGTTATTGTTTTCTCATATTGTTTTCATAAATTCCACCAAGGTAAGTGGATGGTAAAAGTTTTATTATTGATAAAAGGTTTTGTTGTTAATAAACGAGTTTATTGTAAATTATGCTCCATTGGTCTTTTTGTGGTTTTCTACCCACCTTTATCTCCGTGACGGTGAGATATCGTGATGTTCTTACTGGGCTAGTGTAGCTCACTCCTTAATTAACCATTTCAGATCAGGAAGACATGGTTCCCGAGCCCGTTCCGCAGGAGGACGACGAAGGGGATGCCTAGAGACTCTGTAGTCATACGCATAGTTTATTTTCGAGTTTTCTTTCTTAGTTAGTTTAACCTTTTATATTTTAAGTACGTTTGTTTGGTTTTTCGTGTAAGGGATGTTAACTGAAATTTTGATCTCGCTTCCGCATTTGATATATTTAAATACTCATTTCATTTTTATATTTTCCGGGGCCGTTACAGTTGGTATCAGAGCCGCATTTCCTCGGACCCATTCCTTACACTATAGTCCTTTAAAGAAATACTCACCGATTGGTCGTTACTCAACCATTCCTTGTAAATGCAGGTACACAGAAATGAGGAGAGGAAGGCCCCCACTAAACCGAGCGGCCCAAGATAATTCGCTTCGGGAGGATTTGGACAGATTATATGAGATGGTGGAAGCTCTCGTAGCTGCTCAGCGAAGGCAAGAGGAGAGAAGGGAGTTACCCGGACCTCCTCCGCTAGCGCAGGTTGAGCCCCCGTTACAGCAGGCTGATCCCGAGCCACCCCGGCAGGAGCCTGTTCCTCCACAGTACCACCCGGCACCACAGCCGCGGTACGACCCGGTACCACAGCCACGGTACCAACAGGTACCGCCACAGCACATTCCAGTGCCCCCACCCCATCAGCAGGCGCCACCACAGGGTCCCCCAGTTCACCCTCAGCCGGCCCCAGTTCCTTTACCTCGGGACCCCGCTCCCTCCTTGATCGACCCTGGCTTCATAGAGAGGTACAGGAGACTGAACCCTTCTACTTTTTCGGGGGAATCCTCTTTTGAAGAGGCCCAATACTGGCTGGCGGAGACTGAGCGAGCCTTTTGAGACCTTGGGGAGTAATTCCCTGAGCAGAGGGCCTGCCATTGCCCTCCCTACATGCTGGGTAGGGGGAAGCAAGTACGCTGGGTGGGGAGGCTTCAAGGCGGGGCCACCCCTGCCCTGGTACCAAGTTAACTTGGGGAAGCAAGTTCCCTAGCGGGCTTTCCAATGGCGGGAGGTATCTTCCCCTAAAGCACCATCCCAACATTTTAAAGGGAAATTTGAATTTTGCTTCAGTTTGGGTCCCAGGGGTAATATGACAGGTGGTCGGGAGTATGCCCCGCAAGTTCCCTGGGAGCTGGGCCCGACATGCCCCGG